CGACTCTGAAAATAGAAGGGCATCAGTGCTGTGTGTGGGTATAGAGATGGACGTCCTATAATAATCATCCATCAGAATTTCTCAGCCAACGCAATTATTGCAGAATATCTGCGCCTGTATGTGCGAAATCGCTTAGATCTCCATTGACTACATCAGTGATTCTCAACTGGTGGGTTACGATCAAAAAATGGGTCACAGGTCTTGCAAAATGCAAGTAATATAACTAACCATATAATCATGCACGGTTAGGATAGAAAACACTCCCCAATCAAACTTGGTGCAAATTCATGTCATTTGGTAGAAGCTGTAGTCCAAACAGGGAGAAGCTAAATGGACAGGTTGCATGATGCCCAAAATCTGAAAACGAAACTTTGCAAGGTAAAAGAAAATGCAACCTAGAAAACATTAAATATGAGTTGAGGGTTTCGTATTGTGTTGGGTTACCACATGACATCTAAACATACAGCATAAAGCATATAGTAAATAGCATATAAATGCATGGCATTAAACTGAGGCTGTCCACATGTGCTTAATACTTTTTTATATTCTTTTTTTTTTGTATTTTTATTGCATTTATTCAGTTTTGCATAATTTGTTGAACTGATGAAGAAACAATGGAGAAGATAACCATGAAAGTGCATAGTTTCACCTCAAAATCAAAAGAACAGAAAACATTGCATCAAGACAATTAACCTCATGAAGATTTATCTTATGTGCATTGTGATATAATTTTTTTTTGACAGCAACCCCACCAATTTATATGAGTTTGTTTTAAACAGATTTGGAGAAATTGAGCATTATATTTCTTGCTTACCAATGGATCCTCTGCAGTGAATGGGTGCCGTCAGAATGAGAGTCCAAACAGCTGATAAAAACATCACAATAATCCACAAGTAATCCACGTGACTAATCCACTGATGAGCAAGTGATGGAATGCTAAATTTCTCAAAATCTGATGAAGAAACAAACTCATGTATACCTTGGATGGCCTGAGAGTGAGTACATTTTTGGATTAACTATGGATTAACTAATCATAAAATAGCCTTCACATACTTTAAATAAATATTCTTATTGAAATATATTTCTTTCTTTTGATTTTGGGGTGAAATATGACCCAGACATGCTTTGATGTTAGATGTTTCTTTAGATGCTGAAGTGAATGTCTTTGTCTTTCTGTTTTGTTGTGTCTAAACGCACACACGCACACACACACACACACACACACACACACACACACACACACACACACACACACACACACACAC